ATTTGCATTTTAAAGCTCTCACGTTCGACAATTTCGTGTTTTCTAATTTTTTTCTAGAAATATTTTCACCCGCTGCTCGACGTAGAAGATTGTCGTCCACACATTTTCTATATCTCTCTTTCTCAGAAATTCTGTTAACTTTTGTTTTAAATATTCCACTCAATAATCTCTAAATGCCGTCAATCATGAACTCTACACCCCAGTGGAGTCTTTTGGGGGGCTTACTGTATGTGATTATAATGTTAATTTATTGAATAGATTTTTGGTTGACTACGTTACATAAGCAATTATTCGACACGACAACGACACGCACCACGTGATGTGAAGATATTGTGTAATGCTACTAGGCTACTGGTCTGATGATTTTGCTTTCTGCGTCGTGGCTTCCTCAGTTATTTCATCTTCTAAGTATCTGATATCGAAACATGTATCACCTTTAAGCGCGTGCCAGAATGACGAAACGCCTCGTCTTCGCTTCATGAACATAATTCCTTCCTAGGAGTCATCAGCGCTGAGTGAGCACTCAGTACTCCCATTTTCTTTCCGAGTCTTCAGTGTTCAACTCAAAATCATTTTTCGTTCAGTCTATAGACACGAATGAGATGCTGGTTGGGAAGTGTATGTTCCCCTAACCCTACTTCTGCAAAGATGGATCACTAGTGAAGCCTCGAGTCTGCATCGGTTCTTATCATTTTACACGAGGCCGGGGTGCTTCGGAAGTGGGGGTGCATATCTCTCGTTCTTGAGTGAGTATCCCACTCCTCGTGGGTCTACGTGTTGATCACCAGACGGCTGACATCTGTATAGCCTCGAAGATCACATTCTCTGGTGACATCGAAGCCATTACGATTGAGAAAGTCTTCGTTATCATACTTATACCGCATTAGCCTAAAGTATATGATATTCTTGGACGCCCGACAGGGACTTGGAGGTGTGCGTGCGTATCACCTTCTACATTACCTTGTATCGCGTGCGGGGCATGGCCGAACTTTATTCCGCAAGCGAATGTCTGTTAAGTGGACGCATAACTGGAGGCAGCCTTGCGCAGTCGTCTCCCCGGATCTCCTGCACCCTGCATTACACCACCCTCTGGAGTCTCCCTACTCCTTCGCTCCTTCTTCACCCTTACTCCCTATCGATTCTGTTTCTACTCCGCATCACGGCGGTCCCTCGTTGCGAACTTCTAGACTAGCGGAAATATAATCAACGACAGGAAGGCGTACCCGAAAATCCATCCTCAATCTCCTTTTCTCCAATGTTCTCTTTCCTTTCCCGCCTACGCCTAATCGGCGCTGAACCCGCACATGACGACGCGGCAGATGACACCTCATCGCTCAACAGGAGTCTAAGTCTACCGTGGCCGGTCACAGAGTCCTCTGCGCGAAGGCCCTCCGTCTCCACCACGAGTAATGCGCACCGCACTCCAACCATTGGACAGCCGTCGATGACGATTAGCCATCCAATCCCTCGAGCCATCTCAAATTCGCTGACGGGCATGGATGAGTACAACGGCCCTCTTGGGGGAGTTGCAGCTCAAGGCGGAGCGACGTTTGGCGGAAGACCCGCTCGTACGCTCTCAACTCAGGGATCTGCGGGTGGTAATTCTTGGTTTGAGCTGGAGAAACCGAGAAGATTGGGCGATCGTCCATCCACACAAGCTGCTGTGACGCAATCGGACAACGCGCCTCCCTCTGTGGTGAGGCTGGATAGTGAGGCTTTCATTACGATGGGAAGCGACGATGAAAACGAGGACGAAAATGTACGTGCTGTGTGAAATACTGCGAACGTGTAAAGCTGATGGCTCCGAACAGGCCCCTCCACGGTACAGCAGTCACAGGAACTTATCCACCGACGTCATCTCAGAAATTTCCCATCCGCACTCTGGATATGTTACTGCGCCTGCCAGTATCATCAGCAATATCCCTGCCCAACGACCTCCGACGCGACGTTCGGATAGCAGACCTGATGTGCTTCATTCTGATTACGATGACGAGGAAGGCGGCGAGTTGTACACTTCACCATTCGACTCGGACTCGGACGAAGGTTTTTACTTTCCTGTTCCACCACGCTCAACGAGCACGGCTTCCGCCTCTTCTGGCACCAAGTCGGCACCCGCAGTCGAAAGAACAATGGCCAAGTCGCGCTGGGCGCTCAAGCTGCAGCTGCACAACGCGCAGAGCATGCCTTCTCTCCAGACAGGCACCGGATCTTCTTCTCGTCACCATTCGCACCCCGCTCAACCTCAACCGCGTTCACCACCTCCTGACCAGCGCGTGACACACCAATCCCATGGGTCACCTCCACTCGAATACGCGCCCGACTCATATCCTCCAGCTGTCAGTGTCGACACAGACGTCTACAAGCACGCGTACAATTATCCGTTGGTCAAGCAACTTTCGCCTATTGCAGAGCAAGATTATTTCTCTCCTGTTATCGACTCGCCGACGCGCGCAGCATCGTTGCGGTTTGCTAATAGGACCCAGAATGCGAGCACCGGTACCAGGAAAGCGAGTCCTGGTGCTGAGAGCCTTGCGAGTGCGAGTGCCACGTTGTTGAACGGAGGCGCTCCAATGGAAGATGGTGTTGAGGCAGCAGAGAAGGAATCCTTGAAGACCCGGACAGGTTCAGGGAGGACAGGGTCAGGAGGATCCGTGAGTACAGTCAACGGTGGTGCGATCGGCCTAAGCAGAGCTGGGTCTGCGTCAATGGGGCAGTTGAACGGAAGTCCTTCCGAGAGTAAGATCGTCCAACCCTGTCTCAACAAACATTTACTGACATATCCATATGTTTGCTAGAAGTATCACCTTTCTTGTCGCGTCATCTCAATCGTACAGCCTCGCAATCATCCTCGAAATCCGATTCGCAATTCCAAGTTCCACTCACCCCGACGCCCGCACAAAGTCAAACAAGCTCGCAGCGGCAGCCATCTGCCCAGCCTAGAGCAGGAAGTCCAGCACGTCCTGTTGCAGCTCATCTTCTGACTTCGGCGCTACGATCCTCCTCTACCAATAATCCAACTGCGGCCAACGCAAATCCCAGCATGCGAGAAGTGATCCAAACGCCGACGTCTGCAGGGACAACAGGAACGAGCACAGGTACTATGTATACGCCAACGTCTACACTTCATGCCTCAGTCCAGACGCCCACTTCTCCAAGCATTGTGAGCGGTGTTACGGCCGCGGTTCAAGTGCCTACGATTCAGGTGCCGCCTCCTGCGGTGATAAATGCGCCAAAGCTGGGGCTGCCAAAAATTCCATCTCTTCCCGCGCTTGCTCCTCTCGACGTGCGGTTCTCGCAGGTCGGCGCAGACAGAGCGTCAAAATCTGGCAGTGCGCTGCGCAAGAGTCTTGCTGAGGTCGATCGAATGCCGGTGATACACAGCGATGAAGGACACCACAACGACGAAGAGCTTGATGGGTACGAGTATGAGGACGACAGCGACCATGACGACGACGAGGATGGCGGGTATGAGATAGAGGTGGATGAAGCAGAGGAGGACGAAGACGACGACGAATATGAACGCGAATCGCTTCATGCAGATAGCTTCGTCACTGCAGGAACGAACGAGGAGGCGCATCCTGATATTGAGCAGGGCATGGAGCTCACAGCTGTCCCTCCAGTCCGAAACACACCTCCAAGTTCCAACCCAGACACAAACCAGCCGCCATCCCGTAGATCATCGAATTCCGCCATCTTGCTTGCAAGTGCGACACGCCAAGGATCGAACGCGTCGATGGGCGAATCGCGCATCTTCCGGCGCTGGGGCATCGACGGCCACGCCTCGCCGTCTCCCGAGCCCGTCGTCTCGTCGCCCATAACGTTTAGCATGAAAGACTACAGCACGCGCTGGCCCTTCCGTCCTACGTCCCCACCCTTCCTCTCCGCCGCGCTGAACCTAACGCCAGCGTTCTGGACGTTCTGGCTGGGATTTGTCTTCCCCGTACTCTGGCTCATTGGTGGGTGGCATTTTACCAACGCGGGTGAGCTGCCTCCTCGCGTGGGCCTGTGGGAATGGTATTTTTGGCGCTCTGGATGGAGTATCTCGAGCTTCTTCAGTGCACTGTCGAGTCGCCTTTCAGGATGCTGTGGTGTCCGCTCCAGTTCAGAACGCAGACCGAATAAACTCAGAAAGACGACAAGAGCGAGTCACGATAGCGCCGTGTCCCACCAAAGCGAAGGAGGCGCCACGAACACCGCGACACCAACGGGAAGCCCCAACCCCAACCTCATGACCCCCGCACAGCGACGGCGCGGCAAGCGACGCAGCGGGTCGTCGTCAGCGGCGCAGAAGGCACGCGAGGGGCAGGTGTACCCCGCGCTCCCGCGCTGGGTCGCGGAGAAGCAGAGCACCGTCGACGGCCGCATGCGCCTGAACGATCCGAAGCGCTCGATGCGCGGGATCTCCTTTGGATACCCCTTCATCGCGCGCCCCCCAGGTTCGTCGCAGGACTCGTCGATGTCCATGGGCGCGCGGCCGTCTCCTCCTCCACGTTCCGTGCTTGGGCGCGTAGGTCCGGCCGTGCTGCGGGTGCTGGGCAGACCGAACAGGGTTTTGGATCTTTTGTATGGGGTGAAGTTGATGGAGGTGCGCGGCAGGCCTGAAAGCGGGAGGAGGATGTTCGACCCATGGATTCAGCGGTGTCGATATGCGCTGTGTTATGCGCTTATTGTGTTGGCGGTAGGACTGTGTACGGCGTCGGCGTGGTTGATTACAGTAAATACGAGGAAGGTCTTGGGACATTGATTTATTTCTCAGACTTTGTTTTTTTGCGGTAATATTTTTTCTTGTCTTTCGTTTCTTACACTTCTTTTGATGCTCTCCTTTTGGGGGCTCCTTACACATGCACATGCATATATATGTACCTAATTTTGTAACAAAAATACGATCGCTGACAATGGAATACTAAAAAAACGTAGTCGATCTATAGACCATCAGGAAAACGTCAAGTTTCAAGTTTTCCCAACCAGAAGTAGGGACCACGAAAAAAATATCTCTTCTCTGCTCCCTGCAAGGCTCGAACTTGCGACCTCAGGATTACATAACTATTAAGTTACTCATATGCGAAATATGAGACCTGCGCTCTAGCCAACTGAGCCAAGGAAGCTTACAATTAAAATTTGACAATCTCTCTTTGGGGTATGGCATACATTTATGAACATTACAAACAAAACGTAGTGCAGCAATGTAAATTGCAATTGAACGATAGAGGCGTATCCTCAGAGAGAGTCAAGAAGAAAATGCAGATGAAATTCATGTATGCATACAACGCTAACATGCACTCTACAACTACAAAAACGACGCTCTCTACCAACCCCACATCCACACCACACCAACTCGCACTCAGCCCGTCTTGTTCTTGCTGCGCTTCCCAACCTGCGCCTGGAAACCACTCTTGATCGCATTCACCGACCGCCTCGAGCCGCACGACTCGCACGCCATGAAAAAGATACGGTTCTCCTTCGTAAGAAGGGTGTCGGGTGATTTGCACGTTTTGCAGGTGACGTATTCGACTGGAGAAATGAAAGGTTGGCGGGTAGTTAATTTAGTGTTTAGGTTATATTAAGTAGGTAGAGACAAGGAGGGAAAAACGTGTATGTGTATGTGACGAAGGAGACGTACCCATGTAGCGACGCAGCACGTTCTCGATCTGTTTCTGCTGGAAACGACCCTTGATAACGAGGCGTCCGGCACCGTCGACGCTTCCGGTCGTACCCATTTCGGCAAAGAGGTATTGAATAACGTGTTCGGGCTGCACAGAAATTTGATAAGCTGAAAGATAGCATGAGAGCAGCAGAAAGTGAATTATCCGTACTTGACGATGCATCTTTTTGCAGATATCCGTGACGTTGGCGAAGATAGACTTCTTGTTTCCTTCGCGGAACAGTTGGGGAGGAGCGATAGTGTAGCGCTTTTTCGATGCGCTCGAGAGGAGGGAGGGGTTGGCGGCATGTAGGGAGGCGTAGAACCGTGTCAGCAGCTATTATTAACGGAAAATGTTAGACGATGGCGTATATGTGTAGATAGATAGAGTAAATCGCACCTCCTGGTATGTGTAATCACGGTCGCTCTTCAGCCATGGCTCATTTCCAGCATCCAAACCCACTGGAGCTTCGCCTGGATGAGCGAACGGATCCTCACCCAGCTCCTCCTCATCGATGTTGTCCAAATGCGAGCCATCAGGTTCAGGGCCTTCATCGTCCTCGTCCTCGCCGCCCTCAGTCTTCGACGACTTCTTGGACTCGGTGAGCTCCTTTTCGAATGCGTCAAGATCAAACGCGGCTTTTTTCTTGCTCGACTTCTTTTTCTTCTTCATGTCAGAAAAGTCAAGGTCGTCAGCAGTGATCGTGGGTCCCTCGGCGGCTGGTGCAGCATCGTCCTTAGTTATAGGCGTCGATGTGCCGGAGTCTTCTCCCTGGATGCCGATGAGACGAGGCAGGATCAGTACCGTTATGGTATGTGGCAGAGGTAGATGAACGCACGAAATCCATAGGAATCTCCTTCTTCTTTTTCTTCTTCTTCATGTCTCCGAACATGGCTTTAAAGTCTTCCGACTCCTTTTCCGTCTTCTCTGGCTTGGCCTCCTGCGCCATGAGCTCATGGGCGGTGGTGGGCCCGAGATCGACGCTCTCGCCATTGATGGTGGTGCTCTCGATGGTCTCGGGGGCGGGTTTCGTAGGATCTGCGTCAGCGCCGAGCGGGTCCTCGATAAAGACGACGTTCTTTTTCTTGCGCTTCTTGAGCGAGGGGTCGAAGAGCGGTTCCTCAGACATGGTGAATGGGTCAAGCAAAGATCAGTAAGGTCGATATCTGACTCGCGCAGATGATGATGATGGGCGCAAAATGAAACTCCGCGTGCCGTGGGAAACAAACACGAGCAAAGCCGAGAGTGCCCGACGAGGACCAGTGCAACCAGCGCAGAAAACGTAAAAACCCGTCGTCCACTATGCTCGCCCGCCATTCCCTCGCTCGCGCCGTCGCGCAGCCCAAGGCTCTCGGCGCCGCCCCCACCAATGCCAGGAACATGGCCACCCTCCGCGAGATCGAGCTCCGTCTCAAGTCCGTCAAGAACATCGAGAAAATCACCAAGGTCTGACGCGCCCTGTCCGTGTGCGGGCTGTATTCCTGACTGCCATATACTCCTAGTCGATGAAAATGATTGCGTCCAGCAAGCTCGCCAAGGCCCAGAGGGCCATGGAGGCTGGAAAGGCGTACGGTATCGCCAACAAGGGTGCGTGGATTGACGTGTGCATTTTGTGGTGTGCTGAATCGCTGGCGAGCAGAGCTGTTCACCCATGTTCCTTCCGACAAGCCCACCCCCAACAAGCTTTTCATCGTCGTCTCCTCTGACAAGGGTCTCTGTGGTGGTATTCACTCCTCGGTGTCCAAGGCGACTCGTCGTGCACTTAACAACGTCGAGGATTCACCCCTTGCTGGTGCTAACACCAACGACGCCACCGTCGATGCCAATTCACCCATCGTTGTCGTCGGGGACAAGTCCAAGGCTCAGCTCCTCCGTGTCGCCGGATCCAACTTCCAGCTCACCTTCAACCAAATCGGCCGTGACATCCCCACGTTCGCGGATGCTGCTGCCGTTGCCGACCTGATCATCCAGAAGAACATCAAGTACGACTCGGTCGTACTTGTATACAACAAGTTCGTGTCAGCTCTGTCGTACGAGCCTGCTGTCATGGAGGTCAAGGGCGAAGAGGCCCTCAAGGAGAGCAGTGCGTGGTTATTTATATTTATTCATCTCCGATGAGGTTTTTGACGGTTTCCGAAGATGCATTCAAGGTGTACGAGAACGAGGATGACGCCACCAAGGACTTTGCTGAGTTCTCTCTGGCCAACGCCATCTACGCTGCTCTCACCGAGGGCCATGCATGCGAACAGAGCGCTCGGTTCGTTCAATTCTTTTTCTGCTTCCGGCTCGAGATTCTCATGTTTTATCATTCGTCTCAGTCGCAACGCTATGGACAATGCCTCCAAGAACGCAAAAGACATGATCAACAGCTTGCAGATGCAATACAACCGTGGTCGCCAAGCCGCCATCACGAATGAGCTGGTGGATATCATCACTGGTGCGTTGTTGTCTCTCCAATCCTCCATAATCTTGTCATATACTAACGTTCTTCCTTTTTCAATCGCACAGGTGCTTCCGCTCTGTAAGCGGAGGATGTGGTTTTCGGGATTCTTTGATAGACGCTTTTCTGTGCTTGTGCCGCTCCTTCAATGAATCTAGTCAAGCAATCGGATAGAGTTTTTTTTGTCAGCGATACAGCACTGAGTTGCTAATTCTTGTGAGCACCGGCAAGTAACTTGGAAGATTTGTGCACGCGGTAGCACAATCATCTAGCTTTGGGGATTTTTTACGCGGCTGTCTTTCGACGACTCTTGTGGGATCTAATAGGTCCAGGGGCCTTGGCAACAAAGGCGGGATATATCGACAATTACTGTCTAGTTATAGAAACGAGAGGCAGAGAGGGGCACATGTAGCTTCGATGAAATTTTTAATCCTCGATCCATGGCAGCGCGCATATAGGTTTCCATCTGGCCTCGAGGATATAATTTCTCCTCGACAATTGCGACATCGTGTTGCGATCTCCTCGTGAACATTTTATCACTCGCTGTTGTTCTCATGCGAGCGTCCTAGGACATTGAAAACCCGGACGCGATAATTGTATCTGCTTGAACTTTCAGCATGCTACATACAGACAAAGTACTTGAGAACAACTCACAGTTTGGGCTTTCAAGGAAAGCGAGGAATTCATATTGTCGACATGAATAGGCTTCATTATATGATCAATTGTATTTTGCGCCCAAATGTTTATTTTAGTTCGACAGTGAGTGAACATTCCAGATGCCCAGCATAAACACGCAGAATTCGTGCGGTGTTGGATTGTATCGATAAAAACCACCACCTCATTTTACCCTCACCTCTCTCCGCTCGCCTACAACTGCCACTCTGCAAACGGTAGATTAGATCACCTTTATTCCTCATTTATAGCTATAATTCACCTATCTACCGTAGACTATATTTGGGTAATGACAGAGCAAGGTGTATTTTCTGTGGTGAGGAGAAAGACAAAGTCATGGTAAAGGCGTATACTAGGGGCAGCTCGGAAAATACCGTGGCGGCATCAAACTCGGCATGATGGAATTTCAACATCCTTGGTGCACAAACTGTTGACGTTGAATTTCACTACAACTCCGTTTCTCTTTGAACAACATCACGCAAGTTGGTGACCAATGGGAAATGGGAACAGGAAGAACATGGTCACGAAAGGGTGGACAATGATTAATGAGGGACGATACAGCATGAGTCTCACGTAATTTGCAGTGCCTGGGCCCTTGCACTGCCTGCACTGTCAAAATACTGATAGCAGGCTTGGCTACGAACACCTCACTCGACCTCGACCCTCATCTACATCCTCCATGCTCATTGTGGTGCTTTTGCTTGCGCTATCTCAAACTCTGGAAAGCGTTCCTTTATCTCCTCCAGCTGGCTCCCCGGACCCCTTCTTCGCACTGGATCACCGCGAGACAGAGAGCCACTTCGGACAGCGCACCGTGAACGACATCGTTCTGAGCTGCTTCGCCACGATCTTTGCATGTACCTGGTCTGCGATTCATCCTAATATCCCAGCGCCGACCGATTGCTGGTGGACGCGCTTCAAACGCCAAGTGACGATCATGATATACGCACTGTTGGCACCGGAACTGATAACTATTTGGGCGCTTAGGCAGCGTATGGGTGCTAAATGGATCATGGAGAAGTATAATAGAGAGATTCTTGGAGGTAAGTGGTGTTTTTTCCATGTTGAAAACGATAAGGAGTCTTATCATGACAGAAAGTACACCTCGTAGCGACATGCGCCAAACCATGCTTGAGCATATCCAAGACATTCCTCGAGCTCTGAAGAGACTCTTTCATGATTCTCCTCCACCAACGGCATCTTTGGAGGGTCCGAGATGGACCGTCGCTCATGGATTCTTGGTACTAATGGGCGGTTTCATGCTTTCAGAAAACGGGCAACCTATTTACACATTAATCCAAGGACCTCCCTGGGACAAGATGCCTGCATCGCAGCAAATGATCGATAATAT